GTAGGCCAGTAAAGCGATAACCGCGGTACTGGGACTCCACGCAGGTTCCCAGGACACGTCTTTTACATTGCTACCGAACCGATCAGCGAACACAGACAAACCTGCCAACACTTAAATCTACTGGCTGGATTTCATCTCCATGGCAACAAGCATGGAAGGTGAGACGTCTCTCCCTGCGGAGTAACTTTCTCCCCCTACCCTTCGCATTAACTGACAGGATTCTAATGCAGGTCCAGATGAAAAGCATGTCTCCTTTTCTGGTATTTCTGAAGCTAGGGAGCAGGAAAGGAGGTGGGGAGGGAGGAGAGGGGGAAGGAGTCTGTAGGTCTGCTGAGTTCAAATTCTAAAGAAGAAAGAGCCCTAATGTTTCTGCTGATGATGCTGATAAAAGGGAAAAAAAAAGTGGATTTGTTGGGTGTTTGCTGATGTTTCTTCCATAATGTTTGGTAGGTGATTTCTATGCTTCTTAAGTTTAATATGTCCAAAGAGAACTGGAGACAAACAAGGCAGAATGATAATGACAGTCCAGGTTTCTCTAGTGAGACATTTTGAGAATTTTCAGACCAGGTTTCCAGTGCTTCTGGAAAAAAAAAAAGGAATGTCAGAGTCCTTGAGGAGCCATTCAAAGATTCTCTTAAGAGGGAAATTCTCTAAAGGTTGAAATCTGAAAGGTTGGGGGGAGGCTGATTTTGGCATATCTCAAGGTTTTGGATTCCTGGGGAGGCCTGAAATTTATGCAGTTCATCATGATGAAGACATCTGGGTTTGTTATTTAAGGTTTTCCTTTGATTACAACATATTCCATTCCAAATTACTAACTAGCTCTGTGCAGATGTGGCCTCAATAATGCTTCTTTTCCCTCTTTTAATGGGATTTAATAATCTTGATATTTGAAGGGGTGTATATATGGGAGAATTCATTATTTTTTAAGCTTGGGTTTTCCTATATGTCTCATTTCATTAAATTATGAATGTTCATGTCATTAGCATTAGAGATTATTATATCTAATGACCAGTATCATAACAGTTTTCATCTAGAACACCATATTCCACTATAATGGTTATTTTAGATATATTGTTTGGAATATTATTAATAGATGAATAAACCGGAGAAAAAAAACCTGTTGATTAAAATAAAATACAGGAATTTCTTTTTTTAATAGGCACATTCTTTTCAATATTGGTTTCTGCAGTTACACATTGTTGCATGATTAAATGACTATATGTTTCTGAAAAGTGAATTTTTATATATCCAATCAATGAACTTATTTCACAGAAAAAAAATCGCACATAACATTCATGTATATGAAAGTCTATAAATCAGGTGTAAAAATACTGTTATCTTTGCTTGACTACTTACAATAGTATGATTTGTATGACTGGTCATAGAAAGACTGTGTTTGCTTATTTATTGGTTACTAACTACAAAGCAGTTCCATGAGATTTGGGCCTACTGGTATCTACAGGTATACCCTTGGCCCAATCCTATGACTCATCAGAACTTAGAAATCCCATTTCCTGACAATTGCCATGAAGGAAATACTGTGCTTCCAACTCATTTTCTCATTTCTAGAATACTTAAACATTGATTCCAGTTAACACGGCTTGAGGCAATATTTTATCATGTGCAGTAGTACTACAGAAATATACTTAAATACTTTAATCATAAAACACATAGACACTGATATTTAAACTGTACAATGTTGATAATTTTACCCATTTTTTGTGGCAGCGCATATTAAAAATAACTTTTACCACATAATTTTACACTCTACTATTATTTTGAAAATTCATTTCTTTATTCTCAAATTTTTTTTTCTCATAAGGGTTTATTTATTTAGTTTTGTAACTTCATGGTCTAAATTCTCACATATGTCTTTCATTTTCTATATCCCTATAAACAGGATATTAAGATATTTTCCCTTTGAGGTAGGCATTAAAATGTCTGTTTTGCAGAACCTGCTAATTTTTTTTTTGGCTTCTGTTCCAGAGATTAGAGAAAGTGAAAGAAATGTATCTTTTATCCACAGTTGTCCAGTAATTTTGGATACCTTATTAATTAATGAAGAAATCAGTGTTGCATCTGAAGACCTCTATTGATTCTTAATATTTTGTTATTACTCTTATATCATATTATGCTCTATATTAATTGAAAGGTACAAAGCTCAGCACACTTCGCAGTATATTCTCAAAAACATTAGACTTGGGGTTGAAATGAGACAAGTCGTTCATTTAATAGAGTAAGCAAAATGGAAAGTTTGAGCAAATATTTGAAAAATTTAGGCCTGAAAATACTGGTATTTTAACCACTACATATATGGCTTAAATTCCCAAGGGTATCTATTTTCTGAACATGTTGTTAGGCAATTGCTTAGCTTTTCACTTATTTGCTTGTGTGGACACAATGCCTGCAGCAATGGCCAGACTTTTTCTTTTCAACATTTGAGTACGACCCTTTCAGGTGTTCTCCTTGGCTTCTATTTTGTTTTCACCTTTGGTGTAAGGTAGAATTTTAAGATGAATATAAAAGTCAAAGTTCTTCCTTTTAAGATATTAAGAAAACATCTGTTCACACGAACTTCCAGGTCAACTGTCCCCCATCTAAGTTTGGTGTATCTCCCTCCCTCCCACTTAAATATGGGACTTGAGAAGTGTTTCTATTAAATTTTTTTTATTAAATTTTATGTTCAGGTTTCAATCCAGAATTCCAGTCATCAGAATTGTCTTGAATCTTGATTCTGTGAGCTAACTTATAGTTTTCAGCCCCGCCTTGTGTCAAATTTAATAATCATCACTTCAATGTCTTCAACCTAGTTACTGTTCAAAAACACTGAAGAGGATGTAGATAGAGTTAGACCTTTGTGATACTACATTAGAGAGCTGTCTCTATGAGTACAGAGCCCAATTTTTATTAGGATACTTCAGTGAACTATGACTCTACATAAAAATAATGTTATCCAGGCATATCTCACCATCTTCCCCAAAAATGATATCATGGGAGATGGTTAAATGCATTGCTGTGCTATTTGCATCGACTAAACCATGTCGATGTTATTTCCCTGATATTCCATGTTAGTAGTAAACTTTCCAAAAAAGAAGTGAATTTGGCATTACTTCTTATTAACCTAATCTTAACTTTTAGTGAGTGCTAACAAATTAGCATTTAAATTAATTTTAATTAATTAAAATAACTAATTACGGATTTGTAACAAAGATTAATTCCAAGTTACCAATATATAATTTTCACAATTTCCCATTGCTCTTTCTGAAAATTGAGACATTTGTCTGTCCAAGTCCATACTTCTGGCAGCACTCTCATGGTCAGGTATTTCTCAAAGGTTTTTGCTCATCAAGTTATAAATCATCTTATCCTGGGAGTTTTAACTCATCTAATGCAGCTAAACATTATTCTACTACTTTCTTGTCTCCTTTTACTGTTTGATTTTGGGGTCATTTCTAAAGAGCATTCTACATGGGTTAAAAAGACAGAAGTATATAAAGTACTTCTGCCTTTTCTTTGTCAACTGATAACCACTAAACCATCTTGTACAAGTAGGGAGTTTAATGTGTTATTGGTCAATTTCTTTATCTGAACATATTGTGTATGAAATCCTCTCACCTCAAAGCCTTTGCAATGACTGTTTCCTCAAACTTCAATGCTCTTCCTCCAGATATTTTCACAGCTCCCTTCTTGACATCATTCAGACTTCAGGTCAAATGTCATCTCCCTAGGAAAGCCTTTGCTGATTTTTCTTCAATTAAAGAAGTGCCCTTTATTCATTATCATTCTCTTTCCTCTTAACTTGCTTGCTTTCTTTTGTAGCATTTATGACTACCTGATATATAATAGATAGATAGACAATTTTAAAAATAACTGAGTCTGTCTCCTCCTCCACTCATGGCAGGCGCACATTGTTCTGTAGTTCATCATTATAATCCAGGACCAAAAACAGTGCTGACATGGAGCAGACATTCAATATATATACTGGTTGAATGAATAACTAAAATGTAATTGCCATATTCATTATTATATAATACCTTATCATTCAGCTCCCAGTTTTTGTCCTGCATTTCATTTGTATTGGTACCAACAATAGATAGCCAAAGAGGGCTTATAAACTATGTATAAAGCCATGAGACAACCATTTATCTGTTCTTCCAAGACAGTATAAAACATGGTGACTTTATTCATTTACTAACAGTGGCTCTATATATCCATTCATTGTTTGTACTCCTACCCAATTCCAAAAGCTCTTGAATTATCTTAGCTAAGTATCCTTGAAGTATCTTACCCTTCTTAGCTAAGGGTAACCAGAGCAGCCAAGTAATAAAGAAGGCAAAGTCAGGGGAAGAAGGGGTAATTATACCAGAAGTCTTAAGCTAACAAAGGCATTCTGACTGAGTACAAAATTTAACTATCTACTTCCTGGTAGTTAATGCCAAAATAATATGATGGCTACATACCTTTCCATAGATAATGAAAGGGAACTAACAAGGCTGATAGAAAAGATCTACTTTCCCTACCTTTGAATATTACAAATCATGTGAGTCTTTCTGGGAATGCTATATTAATGAATTATTTTAAAAAACCAGAAACATTGAACTCTGAATGAGCTGCTGAATTTTAATGTGTATCTTCAAAGCTGATTTTTTTTTTTTTTTTTTTTGGCGGTACGCGGGCCTCTCACTGTTGTGGCCTCTCCCGTTGCGGAGCACAGGCTCCGGACGCGCAGGCTCAGCGGCCATGGCTCACGGGCCTAGCCGCTCCTCGGCATGTGGGATCTTCCCGGACCGGGGCACAAACCCGTGTCCCGTGCATTAGCAGGCAGACTCTCAACCTCTGCGCCACCAGGGAAGCCCAAAGCTGATATTTTTTAAATCAAAGTTTTCTTGTTCATTTCATTTAAAATACGTTTTCTGAATTTAAAAATTAGATTTTTTAAAACCAGAACTTTATTCATCAAAAATTATATTTTTCAATACATTTAGTTTAATCCAATTCAAATATTTATTAAATACCTACAACATGCCAGAAACGGTGGTAACTGCTTGAGAAGTAGTTATTTTTCCATTAAAATAAGTAATTCAATTCACAGATTGCCTAAGACTCTAAGAACAAAACACTATGCTGTGTTTTAACGTATGACAGACATATAACGTATGTCTGCCATACGTTAGACAAATAGTAATAAAAAATTTAAGGGATTTTGTATCTCTAACTAGGAAAATACCTTGTTTTAATTTAATGGTGAAAAATGAGTTGCGTGTTTTATTGCCACAGCTAGAAAATGTCTCTTTTGGTTTGTTTGGTCAGTTGGTGGGTTTTTATAAGAATAACAGAGTCTAGTGGATTAATCACAAGCTAAGAGCCAACCGACTTAAGTCTTCTAATGATCAGTTACGACCCTGTGTACATGTCTACTTCATGATTTTTAAAAACATGTAAATAAATTTAGCTAACGTCATAACTATACTCAGTTTAGGCTATTTCTGCATGGTGGCAAAACGAACTAGCTGAAAAGTGCACAGATCATTACAACTGCCCAGATGTTTTAATTATAGTGATACCAATTGTTGCAGGTTAGGTTCGTCAGAAACCAGACTGAGACAGAGAGTAGTGTGCAGGATGTTTACTGAGTAGTGCCCTTGGGCTCAACACCTGTGGAAGAGTGGGGAGTTAAGCAGGAATGGGCAGAATTTGAACTGTGATGAAAGAAGAGCCTTGGTTTTCCCTGTGATGAACTCTAGAGCTAGAATGGTTCTTTTTTTTTTTTTTACATTTTTATTTATTTTTAACATCTTTATTGGAGTATAATTTCTTTACAATGGTGTGTTAGTTTCTGCTTTATAACAAAGTGAATCAGTTATACCTATACATATATCCCCATATCTCCTCCCTCTTGCATCTCCCTCCCTAGAATGGTTCTTCAGAGTTCAAGATGGCCAGGCCTTTTTATTTTCACATTAATCAGTCATTGAAAACTGTCTGCTGTTGGAAGCGAAGTAACCTTGGGTTAACCTTGGGTTACAGAGAGGCAGCTCTCTGCTATTGAGGCAATCCATGGAAGGAGCTAGCAGCTGAAGATTATCTGCTGGTAGCCCTCCCATGTGCTGGGCAACAAGTCCTTCGCCGAAGGGAGTTTGTATACTGTGTCCACCAGTAAACCAGGCTTATTGCCTCTTCTTACCTACATGTCCGAGGAAATAGTCAAATGGTATAGCCTAGCAAGGTCATGGCTCTTGTGAAAAAAAAAAATTCAACAAGTTACTTGGCTGAATCAGTCAAATGGTTGATCCAGCATCTCCATGTAGAAACATCCTTCTTTTCAGTTTGTCCACCCATTAAAAAAATGAACCAGAGGGTGTATGAATCTCAACAAAAGACCTTTAAATGACAAAGCAATAAAATTAAAGATTTGGTCAGAAAAAAAAGTTCTAGTTAAGTCCCAAGGTCATTATTCAGTCCAGTCTCCTCTACTTTCTACAGGATAAATTGTACAACAAGAGCTCAATCTTCAGAAAAATCACTCTGAAACACTTCAGTGATCTGACATTTTTAAAAATTAAAATATATTCAGTATACCATATTTATTAGGGTAGAAAAATGATTTGGTATAAAGAAATTCAACAAATTGGGTTGAAACAACATTTTTTCCTTCTATTAAACAAAAAAGTCAAATAACCAGCATATCCCACAATGTATTGAATATTTCTAACACTTAAGGTTTGAAGACAGAGCTCTTTTGTAATCCAAGCCAGTATAAAATAAATATTGTTTGATATTAACTCGTGTATAAGTTGGTGAACAATTTTGAAAGCTACAAGGCTTGTTCTTATTAATCACTCCCTTTCTCCACTCCTTACCTCCCATTCCTTGTTCTGTCTCAGTTGTTTTCTGAAAATTGAACCCCAAAGAACCTGAAGGGTCAGTCATTTTAATAAACACAATTCTTAAAATTATCAAAAGAAGCAACAACAAAGACAAAAACACCAGCAGTCTATTATTCTCAGTTATTAGATGAGAAGCTTTTTGGTGACAGTCCTCTCAAGAAGGGCAGCTGTGGGTTAGTAACCATTTGATTTAATTAACTAATCTTGATTTTTCATTAGTTAATTTAATTAACTTTAAGACAGCAAGTGGAAAAATCTATTTTGCTTCAATTCAACACACACTTTTGGAACACTTTTGCTGTAGTTTTAGACTCTCAACATAGTAGGAGCTTAGAGATAGTGGGAATCTGGTAGGCAAGGGGTCTGGGGAGCTTGACTTGCAGCTGAATTTCATAGAAAACATGCTGTTTAACTTGGATTTTATGTCTATTTAGGGTGTGAGAGCCAGTGGAGACGGTGGTGAGATGGTTAATGGTCCACAGCTACCGCGGCTTGTTACTTGCAAGCTACTATGTTGGGTACTGCTCTTTTTAACATAATTTTAAAAACACAATTTCTCTTTTTAAGAAATTAGCACTTAGTGTATGAAGTGGTAGTGGAAAAGAAAATACAAGAACATAAGTCTAAAAGCTAAGGAGGGGGGTGAAAAAGAAAGAAGGTATTACACCTATTTAAAAGGATCAGAACCTATCAGACAAAATGGCATTGGAGATAGACCTTAAAACATAGACTTTAGAGAGCTTGACCAGCTTACACCCTATAATTATTTATGGTTTTTTTGATACATGCAAAAATGAAATGAAAATTAGATGACAACTTGGGTCAAAGAAGCAATGACTTAATGAATCAAATGAATCACTTAACTTAATGAATCAACTCAATGACTTAACTTAATGAATCAAATGCTTTTAGGGTTAATTATTTGACTATTCCCCTTCATACTTGATTTTATATTTAGTGTACAGAGGTACAGTTTTGTGTGTCCACAAAGGCAATTCTGTAATTACTACAATAGAAGTAGCATCTCCAATACTAACTTGATCCTGATCCATATCTGATAATGTTTTCCTATATCTTTTGTGAGTTAAGTCAAGAGAGTTTGAAAAATGCCAGATGTTACAAAACAATTACCTACCTAATACCATGTATGGATAAAACTAAACTGAGTCCAATTTTGTATCTAGGCCAAGAGGTGACTCCAGCAGGAATTCTGAAGAGCCAAAATGATGTGACAGTGAATAATGAGTAGTACCAACTGTGGCAACTCTTCAGCTAAGATGAGTGTCAACGAAGTGTCAGCTTTCTCGTTGACTCTGGAGCAAAAAACTGGCTTCGCTTTTGTTGGGATTTTGTGTATCTTCTTGGGACTTCTTATCATCAGATGCTTCAAAATCCTGTTAGACCCATATAGTAGCATGCCTTCCTCTACATGGGAAGGTGAAATTGAAGAGTTTGATAAAGGGACATTTGAATATGCACTTGCCTGAGCGTTTCAGCTTTATAGTTTTTAGGGTTATACCACTGGGGCACATGGTGGACACAACTGTAATTTCCTTCAGTGTGCTGGAGGAAGATCATTTCATTCACTGAATTCAATAAAGGTGTATGGTTAATTTATCCACCATGCTGTGTAAGTGATAAACCATTGCTGGGGTTCCTCACTTTCCTCTGTCCTCACATTGAGGTTTCTAATGAATAGAGCATAAGGATAACTCCAGCCACATATAATATCTTTATTCTTCCTGCATCTGCCCCTATGCAATACCCAGACACTCTCTCCATATTCCTGACTCCGCCCCCCTTGCTCTAGAGAATTAGGTGTCAAAGATAAGGACACCTCAGTCCAAAGAATAAATAGAATATGATTTTCCTAATAAGAGCCATAGGTCCACAATGTTCGTACAAACCCTACAAGCAACCATAGGCCATAAAGTTCCCCACATGTCACAATTTGACCCTTCTATTTCTTCTCCTTCTAGGATCTCTTGCAATAAAATCCCCTAGCTTGGGATCATACTGATACTCCCTCCTCTTCCCCTTTTATAAATAGCATTAAAAAGGGAGTTTTCATCATGACCTGGTGGAAACAAGAAACAAGAAGTCCAGTCTCCACTCTGCCACCGATAGAGCTATCAACCTTGGCCAAGTCATCTTATCTCTGTAGACTTCATTGAGGAAGCTAACCAGAGGATTTTTAACAACATCCCTTTTAATTCTAGTGCCCTATGAGCTCTACAAATATACCTGGAAACCCAGGGATCTGAGATGAATGAGGATTTTTAAGACGTCATGAAAAGTTTTTCAGTTTAGGAGCCTAAACTCTGAGATTTGAATTCTAATGTTGCCTAGCCAAGAACAAGCAATATGACCTAGAAAGTTACCTAATGGGAACTTAAGTTCCATATCTGCAAAACAAGGATAAAGAAACCTATCCTACATGTTTTACAAAAATGTTGGGAGGACCAAGTTACATATAATGAGTGGGAAAGTAATTTGAAAACCAGAAAACTCTGTTTAGGGATTTCCCTGGTGGTGCAGTGGTTGGGAATCTGCCTGCTGATGCGGGGGACACGGGTTCGAGCCCTGGTCTGGGAAGATCCCACATGCCACAGAGCAGCTAAGCCTGTGCGCCACAACTACTGAAGCCCATGCACCTACAGCCTGTGCTCCACAACAGGAGAAGCCACCGCAATGAGAATACTGTGCACCGCAACCAAGAGTAGCCCCCGCTCGCCGCAACTAGAGAAAGCCCACACGCAGCAACGAAGACCCAATGCAGCCAAAAATAAATAAATATATATTTTTTTAAAAAAAAGAAAACACTGTTTAAACATAACTTTTATCATTATTTATTATCCTTGCTGGCAATTGTTAAAGAGATTATCAAACCTTAAGAAGTAATGGCTCAGTGTAAGTTATTCAGCCTCTCCAGTTTTCATTCTCTTCATTTGGTAAATTAAAAAAAATAGAATTACATAATTTAAAAATTTTTTCTAACTACAAAATTCTGACTCTCTGTAAGTGAATGGAGGAATATACCAGGAGATAAATAAATACAAAAATATTTGTGTCACTTGAGAACACAGAACTGCCTAACACACCAAAAAAAAAAAAAAAAAGGATTAAAATGTACTGAGAGTTAGCACTAAATTAGGTGCTTTCCATTTATTATGAAATTTGATACTCTTATCAATCCTTTGAGTTTGGTACTATTTCCATTCTATTAGCTCAATTTCACAGATAAAGAACTGAAGCTGAGAGAGATTAAGTAACTTCCCAAGGTCACCAAATTAGGGCGTGATTGTATTAGAAATTACACTCTCATCAAAATCATAGTCATTGTTTGTAAATATCATGCTATACTCCCACACACTGTCCACAACATTTCCACATATCTTACAAATATGATCATTGCTCAGGTCTAAGGCACTCCACAGCCAGCTGTCTCAGTGAGAGTCCCTGACACTTTTCATCTCGTAGTAGATTTAGAACACATCTGTGTTGGCTACGGATCTTCTGGACCAAACTCACACCTTAAGGAGACTCTTTGAACCCCAGTAGGTACTGGAGTGTCAGCCTGGGATACCTTGTAGCCAATTTGTAATTTGGTCCAAGAACAGCTCATTGAACCAAGTCAACGGGACACACTGAAAGCTGTAAATGTCCATGATGCTAGTCATCTCCTTTGTGACCCAGGCTTTTGAAGTACTCACTAAGATATATGCCCAGGTACCAGATGCTCCCATTTGTCTCCCAAGGAAGACACCCAACAAGACCTTCCATTTTGGTGACTAGACCTGTGATGTTAACAAGGCCCCATCTTTATCTCAAAAAGAAAAAAAGACCCCAAAAACCAAAGATAAGAAAACTTTGTGAAGTATGAGCATTGTTTCTGAAAGTTCAACACCCATAAGCTTTTCAGATACCATCAACTCCACCTTAGTATTATTTCTAATCCTACTAAAGAGAAATTCTTTTAACCAAAAGTGTCTCCATTCATGGCATTTATTCATGGCCTATTGTGTACCTTAGACTTTCTGGGGGAAAGGGGAGGGGACAGAGAGGTTAGAATCGGTATTTTTAGAGCTAGAAAAAATGTGAGATATAAAGGATAGTTATAGCATGGAGAACATGGAAATTTCATGAAATGCTAACCCTTTCTAGGAATAGATGTCCAATGTCATAGCCAGATTATCCCCTAGCTGCCTTTTCCCAAGAGCTCTGTCAAGGAGGACAAGAGAAAAGACAGACAGTACCTCCAGACAGTTTCCCCCTGTTACCTTACCCACCTGTCTGAAAGGCCTTTCAGGGTTGGTTTGTGGATAGTGTAATTTCATCCATATACCCCAAACCACCTCCCATCTGCTCCAGAATGTCTGAATCCCCTTAATAGAGAACAAAGACTTTCACTTCACAGTTAGAGATAAAAAGCTTAGAGAGAAAATGTCTAGTTGATGTAAGACTAAGACCAAAACCAATTCACCCTACATTGTAGTCAAGCAGTCAGTCAGCAAGGAAAGAGGAAATTGATGGCTATCAGAGGCATTCATAGTCTTTGGGAGAGGGAAAAGGTTGAGGAATAAATAGATGGGCTCCTGAAAGAGGACCAGAGTTGAGGGAACAGTTGAAGGAAAGGGAGACCAGAAGTGTCAGAAATAACTGCAAGTAAGTTCACAGTTCCTCTACAAGGCCGGTGAATAAGACTTGTTTTGAGTCCCAGCGTCATCTTAGCTGATCTAAATAACCAGCACCACCCAGCTGAGTCTGAAATGAGACTACTCCCTACACCTACCATATGGAAAGGCAGAACCCTTTGTTGAACAGATAAATGCCTTGCACCAGTGGCCTTTAAGGGCAAAATGAGTTATAGGTACCTGTAATTCTGTCTCAATTTCTGATACAGCCTCATGACATGAGCCTGACTGATTAGCATGACAGTTACCTGACTAAGAGCCTCTAAGGGGTTGTACTGAGGTATCTCCAGACTCCTTTCTATAATCTGCTATCTGTTCACCAACCTACCTTTCCCCTGTTTTAATAGGCATAGTACTTATCCCAATCACTAATGATTCACCCCAGAATCTTGGATGCAGAAGTTATCAGTAACTTGTCAATATTGCCGATATAGTAAAGGCAAGCACTAAGTACAAACTAGTGCTTTCTAAAATTAGCACATTAACCCTTTATACAAATTAACTCATTTAACCCTCACAATGAGTCTACAGCACAGCGTTATTCACAACTGATTTTACAGATGAGAAAGTTAAAGGCACAAAGAGACTGAGTAACTTACCAGTGTTCACACAGATAGGAAGTGGCAGGGCCAGGATGTGAATCAAGCATGCCGACCCCAGAGACTTGTTCCTCATCTCTGTGTTACACCACAACTCTGCTGCTCGGGCAACTGGAAGTCACTTGAATAGTTTCTAATAAAACACGAGGAGGACTCTTTCAGTCATCCCGATTGAAAACCAAGGACAGAAGCTGCACAGAGGAATTGTTTGTGCTGTCTTAATAATCACCACCTCACAGATTTGAGCCAAACCTTACCCTCAACAAAACTCAAAAACCAGTTCTGATGAAAACGTTTTGCCGGGTGGAGGCAAAAAGGTCATTTAGCAGTGCCGCTGGAAAACTTACCCATAGTTTGATTTCTGCTTGAAAGAGTTTTCCCATTAAGTAGAAATATTTCCAATACATCATTGATCATACTCCCAATCTGCTCACTTCCTGTGCAGAGAAGAATCAAGATAATATCTGCTATAAGCAAGATAAAATAATCTCAAATACCACTGTCTAGTTACAAAGTATAGAAATTATCTCTGGAGGCCTATATTTTGCTGCATACCCTGAACAATAGGAGGTCACTAGGGATCGTGTGCAATGAGATGGCAAGATTCAATTTATTTAGCCTCAGACTGAAGCACTGCTCATACTTTCTTGGATGATGGCTGTTGAGCAATCCAACTCCCCTCATGCATTAAAGAAACTTTGCCTTCCTGTCTAAAAGGATTAATGGTTTACTCCTGGTTACTAGCTGATGTAGTACTTAAGGTTCTTCTGCGCTAATGGCTGGGTGGGGCCTACGGTATTTATCCAGGCCAATCATTTCTTGTCATCTTTTTCAAGGAAGATTTTAACCAATAAGAAGAAGCCTAAGGTTTGGGGGTGAAAGCTAAGTGCTGCATATATGCCTGGGTGATGCTGAAGTAGGTTATGCTTCCTGAGAAGGCTCCTGGGTGGTAAGTTAAACGTTTCTGGGCAGGGTAGAAATCATACTTAACATTATGTCATAAAGTAGATTCTGAGGAGTGGAGTAAAGGTGAGGATGTCAAGGGTAATGAAGAGAAGTGAGAGGTTCCATAAAAACTAAAGAGGTAATAGTTTCACTTATAATTTCTCCAGGAATGATTATTTGAGAGTTGAAGTTGAGATTTTTTTGTTTTTAATTCAAAGAAATAGCTTTAATAACTGCTGGTGAGAAGCAAGGTTTTCCGGGGTTTTTTGTTAATTTTTTGTATTTATCTATCTTTGTAGAACTTTCTTTGAAAAGCCAAATTTTAAGGTATCAATAAAGAGATATTATTCTGATGAAAGAATGTTCTAAGATGGGCTTATATCGTGGATTGTGAAAATGATTATGTAGTCTATCTCACAGTCAAATAAACACCTCTTGAAGACTAGAATATTTCTTGAAAGGGAATCCATAGAACATAATTATTCTACCTAAATATAGGTAGAATTATTAAGGACTGAGATTTATTTCCTTACCCAGAATACTCCTATTTTTTTTAAAGGTTCCATAATAGCATTTGTTAAACAAACAAATGTATGAGCAAATGAAACATTTTGAAGGCTAGTAAAAGACCCAAGAATTCACAGAGACATCTTGACAGGATGTATATTTATAACCTGACAAGAATGTATTTTTAAGAAGTTTTAAAAATATTTTTAAATGTATTCATTATATAATATATATTAATATCAATCACAAAATACTTGGCGGTTTCCACATTTAGCACTGTCAATGAACTCTGTTTCAGGCTGAGAATACTCTCATCAGCTCTTACTCTATTCAGTTGGTAGAGTTATATCTTTTCTAAAGTCATATTGAATCCAATCGCACTGAGTACAAGCAAATACTACAAACGCAGGTAACATTTTAATGACTCCATTGGAAATTCTGTTTGCCGAAGCAGGTCCCCAGTTATTTATTATGGGATTTAATTGCCCAGGTAACTAAGGTTCCTGGACAGGTAATTTTTAAGGAAATGAATTTAAAATCGTATGTCTTATGAAAGAAAACTGTTCCCTCATACCCCCAACCCTACTTAAACATATTTATATTATCTGGAACAAGTCTAATTTTCTTTTCCAATGACAGCTTTGAAGAACATTCTGAAGCTTGTATGGGAGACAATATATCAAGAATCTATTTATTGAGTTCTTCTAGAACAAAAGCCAGGAGCTCCCTAATGTAAACACATTAGTGTTTGTTTTGAGGAGAAAATCTATAGACTTTTTTTAAGCAACCATAAAG